ATATAAATGAATTTTATTTTCTAAATCTAAGTTTTATGGCAAATATTAATACTTGTTGGGGCTAAACCTGATAAAATTCATAATTATGTGGCATAAATATAGATGTGATAAACACGCAATGTACAAAGTAACTAAATCGTAACAAACAGCAGCTCTGTAACTTTATGAAGAACTAAAATTTCATATAAATGATAAATACCATGTTTTCCAACAAAACCTGGTGAGAGAATACTACTTTTCTTTCCAGAGCCAGTGCACTGTCTTCAATGGAAATTCCATCAGGACTGTAGCTAAATTAAAAACTACTTTTAAAGTATATTAAGAAACAATGTTAATCAAAAGGATTGTTTCTTTTTAACTGCAAAACTTCCAAGGAGAGCATTATGACAATATTTGTGGCAGTCTCCAGTAGTACAGCAATTCTGACAGCAGGTGACAGGGGAGCTCAGAGCCAGACAAATCCTGCAGCAGAGCAGATGCTGCTCTCACATTGCCTGACCTGGATCCCTCCCCACCCCGGCAGCACAGCCAGAACAGTCACACTGCAGCTCGGGCTGGGAGAAGTCTTGGAAGGAGCATCTGGTTCAACTAATGTTTTCTCTACTCATTAATAAAAGGAACAAGCTGCAATAACTCACAGAACACCACAACTGTCTCGGCAACAAATAATGACCATTAACTCCATATAGGGATGAAGTTGTCAGAAAACATCCCATGCTTTGGGTTTTTATATATGGTCCATTCCCCACAATCAGAATACTTTCTGGTGGGGAAAAACTGGAATTCTATGAAAACAGCAATACTAAGTAGTCCAGTAGAATTCAGTATGTAACAGTAAAACTGCCTTTTTTGTTTCCTTTTTTCTTTTTTTAAATAGAAGAACCTTTTCATAATCAATCCCATTTGAAAAGTTGTGATAAAGTATTTATTCTAATTTATTACAAACACATATATGTGCCCTTAGTAAGGGAGCCAAGCTGTCCACCACAAATTTCTCTAAAATTACTTGGTCCCAATAACCCTCAGCTTGTTGTTCCCAGCTGGGAAGCCTGTTCCTTTTAATAACCAATTCAATAAACTGCTGAAAAATGCTTTGTATAATATAGTATTGCCATAGATCTGATGTTTGTCTCTGTCATTACATATTGCATTCAATCAATTTACAAATGTTGCTGTGTTCCTTTTGTGCTAGTTCTTCTTACGGCATCCTGAACACAAATCCAAAGATCAATACCTTGTCTGCTGAAAAAAAAATTGGACGTAACAAATGAATAATTTTATTTATAATAAAAAGTCCTGGTCCCCAAATGGATTCTGCTAATGTTCAAATTCATTTTTCACGTTTAACACAAGATGAAAGCAAGTACCCTGCACAATGCCATGAGAAAGGCAGTGATAAAAAACAGTTTATATTTATTGAAGATGTGAGCAAAACCTTGTAAAGCTCTGGTGCAGGCTGAGGAAAACATCAATAAAATGGTAGGTCATTTACAAAGTATTTGTTACCATGTTAAAGCAAAAAAGTCCATGTCAAAGAGGAGATGGAATTTGTTTAAAACAGCCACAGTTCTGTCCTATGGAACTGCGGAAGCTCTGAACGAAATCATTCCAGAAGCCAAGCAGAAGCTCAGCTCATGCTGGTTACATGAGCTGATTCAGTTTGTCTTGGGCCTTTTGTGTGACAGAAACAATGCATTTGCTGACTATACACATCCCTACACTGCTCCAGCTATTGAATAGCTGCCTTCTCCAAAACAACCACATTGTTGTTCAACAGAGTCACAAATGACTTTTTTTCACAATCACACTCTGCAGAGCAGCAAGTTACAGAACTGAGAGGAAACAAGGACTCTACTTTTCATAAAAAAGGGCACTGGTACCTGAATACGGGTACACATCCCAGCAAGCTTACAGAATAAGCAGCTCACTTCCCCACCACTCCCACTTGCTGCCAAGATGTGTACTGCACACAGCACTCGTGTTCCCAGCTAGACTCTTGGCTCCTGGAAAATGCACAGGCGTTAGAAAAAAAAAGAATCATACAGTTTCTGTACAAAACGGAAAACCCTCACAAAAGTACAGCCCAAAAAAAAACAGTGTCTCACTGATCAAAACTGTGCCCAATCCCATGTGACTCCCTGCTCTGAAATCAGACAAGTAGGACTTCAGGGAAGAGCAGAGCACTCATAGACCCCTCATTTTGTCATGGGAGTTGAGCGATGACGTCTTCAGTCAGACTGTGGTCAGACACCTCTGAGCTTTAACCATTTCCCTATTAGGTGACAGCAAAGGGACTGGATGTCCTGAGGGGAACACACACTAATCCTGCACACTCACCACATTTAGCTCTTCTCCATTTGGTTGAGACAAAAGAGGTGAACAAGTTTCCTCCTGTCAAGCACATGCCCATATCGTAGCCTACACACTGAAGACTCCAATGTAATGTGAGATATCCCCTTACTCAAGGGATATCTTAAGATATCCCAGTTCTTTACTTAAGATCCCAATTCCTTTCTATTCAAGAATCTGCAATAATCACTGAAAGGGATCCAAACACAAACAGGGTCCTGAGTCCATGAACTCATGTGCACCCATCAGGCAGAAGTCCAACGTGGGATCAAATGAGGCAGCTCTGTCCAGGAACAGGAGAACTCTTCCCTTACCATAAATACTGTGTTCTTACTCTACCTACTTTTGGTTTCTATTAGCACAGTTTGCCTCTGAAGTGTCAATCTAAATTCACAGGATTGGCAGCTGGAAATAACACCAAACTTTGCAATGTGTTAACTGAACCAGCCTGCTCAAATCACAAACACTGAACTCCACGAGACCATTCTGACTGAATTTTTATTTTAAAACTATCACAGCCAATTCACAGCTCTAAACCTATGTTCTGTTTCAAGATGGAATTTCAACCTTACTAGTTAATTAAAGCCACCACCTGGAGTGAGCTGGCTTTCCAACTGATTTCCTTTGTCTCTCTAATTCACATACATTAATATTTTATTTTCTACTGGAAAAAAAAAAAAAAGAAAAAGAATGTCATATGTGTGCCAAAGACAAGGTAGATAAAATTATTGCAATAAAACAAAGAAAATACACTTGTTACTGCCAGGTCTCAAGATGAATGCTGCATTATACAGACATTTTAAAGGCTTACAACTGCAAATTGCTCTATTTTACATACTGTATTCTAGTCTTTGTATCGAGATCTCTAATTTTTTCATATTGTAATGAGAAAGGAAAAGGGTTGGGTTTTTATTACCTGAACATTTATTCAATGGAGAAACAAAGACTACATTATATATTACAACACATAAGCTATTAAAACAATGTGACACTATAAAATACGCTGCAATACTCATTATGGGATAACAAAGCTAAACCCTGAGCAAATAAATGTATCTGCCAAAAGTCAGCAATAACTATACAACTAGAGTTTATAATCTTTAATTATTTAAGAAGGAGAGAAGCTTATAATAATTAAGTTTTATAGGCTCCTTAAATTGTCATTACTAGGTGCTTGCGAAACTTTAAAACAAGTATCCTTCATCTGAAATACTCTATTTTTAACAACAGATGCAATGGCTCACTTAACTGATTAATTCAAAAACAAGTGTTCGTATTATTTTTAAAACCTCCATGTGAAGAAAAGGAAACATTTTATTTATTCTCTGATCCAGACAGTGCATAAACCAACATACAGTTCAGGCATTTCCGGGCTCTGCATCACACAGTGACTGATGTGATATTGTCTTTATACAGCTTTGAAAATGACAAAGATTTATTATGACAATTCTGTAAATCACATTGATTTACACCAGGTATTTCAGAAACTTGAAGTTCAGAAATACTGTTAACTTAATTCATTAAAATATACTGGTGAGACAGTAACACCTTTAATGTTTCTATGAAGTCTGTGCATCTTTGCCATGCATTTATAACCAAACAATCTGACTTCTGGTACACACAAACACCATCTAAAGCAGGTGGAGAGAAAAATTCAATACTGAACAACTATAATCTATAGAACTGATAGGAGGAGAGGAAGGCTCCATTTCAGAAGAAATACATTTGTGACTTTAAAAAAATATATTAAAGTTTACTAAATTCTAAATTGTACATTAAATTATGAAAGAAACAACATAAAGCTACAGAAGAAAAAGAAAACTTTCAATAAACTCCAGACAACTTTCTTCTTTTCCCAAAACACATTCAGTCATTGCCTGAGTTCCTACTAAAATTTTACCATGAACCTCTATGGGAAAAGTGATCAGTCTTGATTATTTCTGAAAAATTGCACCTCCAGCCAATGAAAGCAGCACAAATTTTGGAGCAGTAGAGTTTTGACTGGAAAATAACACACCACACTACAAAATACCCTAAATAGGCTCATTTAGCATCTTGCATAAGCAAGTTCCTATAAAGTTTCTAACTTGAGAATTTTACTTACAACATGGGGCTTCACTTTTTCATTACGAAATGTGTGCACTATACAGATGGTTTATTTAATTCATTCCTACCTAAATTAATCAAAGTAATCTGTCCCCCCTCAAAAAAAAAAAAAAAAAAAAAAGAAAAAAGTCTTCATAAAGGATTCTGCTGCCACTTGACAAATGGTGTGCATTTAGCCAGGAGAAGCTGAAAATTCTCCATGAAAAAGTTACCACATCTGAAAACAAGTGACATTATTAAAAGGGAAGCAGGATATGTTACTTAGCATAATATGAAATTTAAACACTACCACCTCAGATACACTTTAAAACGCTTTCAGCAGCACCTGGTTGTTTATACATCTTCTGTGGTGAAAAGGTCAATAGAAATTCACCTCGAAGGTCACAGTTGCTTAGCAACTGTTTTCGGCAGTTCTGCAACACTGATCAAGGATCTCACGTTCCACTGCCTGGTTTCAGAACGAACCCGTGTCGCATCCTACCTGGCCTTCCGAGCACTCTGCATTCCTCCTGCTTTTCCCAAGAGCACAGCCAGCCAAAGGATACGCCCTGGGACCACCGGCCTGCGGTTCACGAGAGCAAAGGAGAGTTCAGTCTTCAGGAAGACCACGGAGGGCTTGATGAGGTGCTGCCCGAATCTCAGCATGACGGACGTCAACCCTCGGGGTCTGAAAGACACAAGAGTGGAGATGAATAAGGGACTGACTCTGCCTTTCCAAACAACAGCAATAGGACAAACAAATTGTCCAGGCAGCTTCCAACAGAAAGTGCCTCCTGGGCTCATCAAGACACTGGATGTCTTGGAAAGGTTGTTAGGGTTTTCCTAAAAGTATCGCTTCCTCGAAGGGGTGTTGGAAAAGGCTCCCGTCCAAAGCAAAAATTTTACATCTAATTTCTTAAACCCTCTTCTCACCCTCTTGGCAGGGCTACAAAATTCTAGACAGAGAACGTAATTACTCCCTCCCGTTTTCATTTGTCCTGCATTGTGTACATCCGGATCACGTGTTCTTGGAAAAGCACAAATAGGATTTCACAAGCTTTTTGCCACAATGCAAATTGATGCACACAGGACTTACCAAATAGACCACATTTTCTAAATCAATCTCTCCACTAAATACCTCAGCTGAAGAAACACCAGTAACCTAAGGAAAGTGTATTTATTCATTTTCCATCCACACATTCTAGTCTGAGCAACTGGAATGTGAAGATGATCACATTTTCTCTTACAGAAGCTCAAAGAATTCCACTTTCATTCACTACAATTTTTTCTCCTCCTGATGAGAATGAAAATCCCTCTTAAATAGCTAAGGCACAATCCTAACAGTGTCTATTTTAGGTCTTTAAGCCCTAGAGTATTTAAAGTATTTAATGCAGTCAGAAATATCCAAGGTACTGCAGGGTAAAATATGAAGTAATGATGAATTTCCTGTGACAATACTTCAGACACATCGGAAGCATTACGCTAACACTGCCCTGCTTGAACCAAGTGACTAATCAGGAAATTCAGTCTTATATGTTGCTCCAGATGGGGAAATCCACTGTGAGAGTCACGGAGGGTCTTTTGTAGCAGCTCTTTTCTTGCAAGCTTGCTGTGTTCAGTAAAACCCAAACCTGGCTCTTAAGCTGAGATTTATTCTAATTTAACATCCCGCACCTTTATCTGCTCCCATGAAGAAGTACACACAACAACCCTTCTAAGTGCACACACTTTGAAAGTGTCTTTGAGAAATATCTGTTCTTCGAAAGGAACTTCGAATTTGTAGCTACCTGATTCCACAGAAGAACTTAAGTAAATTAAATTAAGGATAGCAGATGCATCTAGTCAGGCTTTACACCAGAAGAACATGTATAAATCTTAGTATAAGACACAGTAACAAATCAGATGACTACATTTCCAAGTAATAAACATTCTCTAAGTGGGAACCATGTCTTGTTTTATTTTTGAAAATCACAGATTAAAGGAAATGCTTGAGCAGACCATAGAAAAGTGGAGACTTTAACTACACCTGTTTCAAAGATCTGAAAAAGTTCTACAATTTTTTTCCCCATAAAGTCAACAGAAGATTAAGTGTCTGAGATGTGTCCCTTAGCATATATTAAACCTGAAACCTGACAACATACAAAAATCAAGTCTCTTTAGCAACTAAAAGAATTGCTTAGCAGAGGAAACACCTGCTATCTTGTGCTGATGTTTGAGAAAAATAACTATTAGGACCTTCAATCAATCTTCCTCATTTCTCTTAAGCAGCCCATCAGCAACCCCCCGCCGGGGATTTTCATTCCAATTAAAACATTCAAGAATGTTTTTACCTGATACAAAAAAAAGACATGGTTCTTTTTGCAATGAAGGCAATGTTTCTGATAAAGGAGCAAAACACATTCTATAGCCTGGACTACCATCCAGTGATGAAACTAAGCTGGTGTCTCCACTAGCTGGAAAATCAAATATACCACCACACCTGCCCTTGCATCTGGCAATGCTATGGACAGAAATAAAAGTATTACCAATCATTTCTTATTCTGTCTTCCAAAATACTGATAAATAAAAACCATGTCCAGAGGCATGGAACAGACTTAAACACAGAACAAAGGCTTTAGGCTAATTTTAAAATCTGATGCTTTGAAATTTGATTTAAGGAGGGAGAGAACTTGAGACTTTGGTAATCACCAGAAGAAGTCCTCTGGCTTTTTGCTGCCATAGGCAAAAAACAACAAACAGTAGCAAAATAAGGTTGGTGACATCAGGTTGCCTAAACCATGTATTCATCATACACCTACCACATGCATATTCACTTATTTCACAGCCAATCTTGTTTAAAAAAGTTATAAAAAGCAGTAAAGTAAAAGCACTAATCTCATGCCTCTCTAAGCAACAGTTTGAAGAATCACGTTACAGCCCAAGTGGGTTGATCTAGAATTAATAAACATTTTAAAATCTCATACATAGAATTAATGCACATGTTAAGACCATTTCTATTTGCTTACTACACAATAATGTACCTGAATAACATATTTCTATCTCTTAATTCACACTAAAGAAATACAGCATGTGTTTCAAACAAATGTGTCACTTGTATTGGCTGTGCTGTGTAATGCTGCAGACTTCCCAGTGCTACTCTCTCCAATTCTGAGAAGGGACTGTGGGAATTTTGTTTCTTAAACAATTATTTATGATCTATTCTAGATTACTTAAGCTGTTTTCTGCCCTGGTGATGCTCTGTGTGTTTCTGTAAAGCGCAATCGTCTGCGCTCGGCACCGACACAAACGCTGCAAAACACCTCGGGGAAATAAGGGATGGGTACCACTGGAAAATCCATGACTGTGCAGCAAGGTTGGAATATTCCAGAGTGCAGCGAGGCAGGAAAGTTTTTAGTCCTCTGAATTCCACCTGCTCATTGCTTGGATGGCCTGTAAACAAGCAGGAATCCACCCAGCACGGGGGCACTCAGGTGATGAGAGGCAAACAGTGTGTGCTCAACGTTTCCCAGGGGATTGGAATCGCTGTACTACATCTGTTCCTCCAGGGATTTCCACTTTTTGCATAAAGAGAAGATCAGATAAACCAGAAACTAAACATAATTGGTGAAAGATGTTTCATCTTTAATGATAGTAGTCTTTCTAATCCCCAGTAATAAGGAGCACAATTACATAGTAATGTTAGAAAATAAAAGAAATCCATTTCTGATTAAATTTCAGCCCAGTTTAACACAGCTTCTATTCTGACTATTCAGATGAAAAGTGTATTTACTCTTCTTCATATTGCAGATATACATTACATCGCCTATTTCATCTGCCTATTTTCCTAATTAAATTCCCTTCAAGCTGTGTTACTGCAGTTGTAGGTGGGAATACAGTATTAAAGGCTAACATAACAAGTAGACTAATTTTACAGCCACAACAGACCTCAAATCTATATAACTCATGCTAGAAAAAAAATAGACACTGGAATTCTACATTACAAAATAAGAATGCTAAAATTAAGAAAAATCTTGAGATACACTGAAATATTTTCAATTATTATTATAGTCTTGTAAAATTTCAAAAGGCACATTGCATTTGCCCAGCCTATAGAAATACTGCTCATATATTAAACGTATTTTTGAGAGGAAATCTAAACTTGGTCTCAATTCTCCAAGTTTATTTGGTGTTGGAAGTCAGGGGCTCTGGTTTGTGCTTCAGCTTTTAAACACCCTAAGCTGGAGAATCATTGGTGTCAAACACACAGGGAGAACTCTGAATGGAAGTTCACCTAAATACAGGACATCAAGATGAGTGCCTGTGTGTTACATGTCATCTGTAGAATCAGAGACCTGCAAAACTGCTGGAAGTTACTTTCTCTGTGCTGATTATAAGGAGTGATGGCATTAATTCTTTAAGGTTCTCTTCCTGCTGCCAGAGACCTCCCAGTTGGATGCTTAATTGAGATGGTGCTGGTACTCCAAGATGCCTCTTTATTTTACCACACAACTACTTGTCCTTAACAACAAGGTGTTGAGATCAGCACCTGCTGGGAACCAAGCTCAAGGCTTCTGCTGAGCAATCCCATGAGCGCAGTTCTAGGAAAGCTGCACATCTGGTTGTAGTGGGGGAAGACAAGATAATGCAAAATGGGCTAACTTAACATGTGTGTATTAAAGGAAACCAATTACAACCCCGTTAGCTCTCTGTGCTAATAGAAAGCACTATTTTAGAACAATCCCAGGAGTATTCTTAAATTTTAAAGTTTGTTGTTTTACCACATCAGCGTTGTCTGCTCATTAATTTTGACATTCCTAATTCTGCTACTCAATTTCAAGATAAAAACACTGCAAATTTATGTGGCAAAATAAAAACTACTATTATTTTTTTTAAGGTCTTAAAACTTTGGGTGTTTTTCTTAAATTCAACAAGATAAGACAACTTATGTCACATATTCTAGTTAAGAGAATAAAGTACCTCTACAGTAAAGGATGCTTATGGTTGACTTGAGATTTTTCAATCCCATTTTCTAGGCTGCCCTTTATCCTACAAAACTCTATCCTTCCATGAATCTTTGGCATTGTTTCCTCTCAAAGGTTTGATTATGGGAAAGTTACATTCCTACTTAGACATCTGAATCCTGCACCATGTTCAAGAAGTAATGTACAATGAAGACCTGTCCTATGTGCTACCTCCCCTCTCATCATGACTTATAATTTGTAATTTCTTCCCTCCCATCACTGCCACTTTGTGAGGATGAAATCCACTCAAGTCAGAATATTACTTATTTGACTCAAGCACATGAATGTCCTCGTTGCTAGCAGCCATGATTTGACATTTTGATCAAAGAATTCCTAAAAACACTAACAAAAGGAAATTATTTTATTCTAAAATCACCTAGTTTTTCTAATAGCCCTTTGTCCCCAGAGCAGCTTTATATCTCAGCATCCTTCAACCCCACCTTCACAACATTCAGCTACATATTTTGTGTTCTTCCAGTTCCAGAAAATGGCCTCTAATTAAAAACCTCTCTTCTTCTCAGTGAGCCAAAACATCACCTGCTACTGCTATTCTTGTTCTGAAAAAGCCAAGAAGAATCACAAAACTAGAAAAGGTGCTCAAGTATCTTTGACAGCCATGGCCTAGATTCTCTGCATGGGGATGGTATTTAATGCTCTACACGAAGCTAAAGGGAAAAGCTTGTGTGGATTATTTTCCA